GATGGCGCGGAGATGGCGGCGGAGGAGGCGCATCTGACCGCGGCGGACCACGGAGAAAACGGGGCCGGGGACTGCGCGGGGGAGCCCGACTCGGACAGCGGAGTGGCGCAGGAAGAGTTTCGGGAGAGCGCGGAGGTGCCAGAGGCGCCGCAGGATTTAGGGGCAACGTTGACTAGGGGGCGGTGGGGTTCAGAGGGGGGGCGGACGCATCGTTCCCATCGCCCATTCATCGCCAATGGAGGCCTGACAGCCCACACCGCCAAGGAAGGCGCGGGTTCGCGATCGGCGGCCTATCGCTGATCTATCGGCGACTCGCGGTCGATATCCTCCCCTGAGCCAGGTCCCCCCGATCGTTGCCCTCCGAGGACGAGTTCCAAGAGGGTGAAGAGGTACCCGAGGCGACCGTCGACGAGTATCCAAAATTGTCCGGGGGCGAGACGTCCGACGACGGTGTCGCAGACTCGCAGCCGCGGCGGAGGGAGGTGACAAGGCTGGAGCGCGACGCGCCGTTGTGGATACGACTGCAGGGTGTCGAACCGGAGACGATGACCAAAACACAGCCCCACTGCCCGCAGGAGGAAGGGCGGAGAAGAAAATTAAGGGAGGATGCAAAGGGTGAAGAGGGGGGTGGCGATGACGAAAGGTAGTCATTAGACGTGATGGTGACGAGTACGTACGTGGGCGATGGCTCCCATTAGTGACGGTAATGGTGATAATGATCTTTAGGTTCAAGGAGGGGTAATTTGCAGTGCTGTCATCCTCGCCCTCGCAAGCCCAGACCATGACATGCACGGCCCAGCTGCATGGCTTGGCCGCACCATTCATCGCCGCACCTGGGCTGACCACAGCGCGGCCGCCCGCACCCACTGCGGAAGGCGACTCGTTGTTCAGACCACCTTGGGATGCGGATCGCCACCTCCGCGCCTCGCGAGTGCGCTCCACGTTCTCGGAGCGCCCACACGTTCTGCCTCACCGCCTTGTTCGCCCCACGTTTCCTGAGGATCGTCAGCGCCTCTGGTTGCACCGTTGCGATCGAGCCACTTCTCTGGACGGTAGATCTGAATGGTGAGATAAAAGGGCTGAATTGTGAATGGGGAGCTTACCTTATGAAATTGGCACAGCACTAAATTATTACGGAAATGCACAGCGACAGTAACCCGAATCAGCTCGCCCCTGCTCTTCCTCCTCCTCCTCCTCCTTTTCCTGCTCCTCCTCCCCCCTTTAGCTGTCCTGTGCCCAAGCATCGGGCATTACACACGCAAGCGTCAGGACAGCATTGCGTGTGCGAGCCGATTTCGGCTTCGGAGATGCCATGACCAAGGATCGCGCCTGGCATGACCAAGGATCGCGCCTGGCAGTCTCGTGGACATTGCTCGACATCTTGGTGGTCTGGCGGCGGCTCGCAAGCGCCATGGCGATCGGCGTCGGGCCCCCCCAGCGGCTCGCCTTCTTGGGCCTGCGGGGGCCCAGTGGCCCAAGGGGAAGTGGCGGCGGCCATGGCGGTTCTGGCTACTACGCGCTGCGCCAGGAGGAGCAGGGCGTTTAGGCGGGACGACGGTAGCGCTGCGACCAGTGTGGCTGCAAGACGAACCTCAGCGGATGGTTCGGTTGCAAACTTTGCGGCGCCAGCAGAGCGGAAAGCGGATATTGTTGAGTCGTCCGACCTCGTGCAGCGGGGCGTCTTGGCCCAGATTGCCGCTCCGCCCTGGTCCTCTCCGATCGTTCCCTTTTTCTGGTGGCGGCGTTGGCGGTGGCTCTTGCGGTGGTTTTCCTCTCGCCGCAGAGGAATGTCGCACCATGGTGTCCATTTGCGAGAAGATTGGCGACACAGCGATGGCGACCAGGCACAAGGCATCCCTCGAGCGCATCACCAAGGGCGCCACGCCGATACCTGCCCAGCAGCTGGCAACGAAGGCCCACAGCAGGTTTCAGTTCAGCAGGCGGCGGCGGTTGTTGCCCACAACTCCTCGCAGGAGGCGGACGATACAAGAGTCTGGTCAAGGAGCTGGCTGGAGGCATGGTCGAGCGCCAGTCGGGTCCACCAGCGCTCCCTGCGCAGGCCGGCGCCGAAGAACTCTCGCAGGCGAGCAGCAATGTCTTCGACTTTGTCTCTACCGAGTCTATCTTTCACTTCGATGAATCGGAGCACGACGTTTCGCAGACGGAGATGGACGAGATCGACGTCCGCAGGTCAGCGCTCAACGATCAGTCCCGCGACGCTTGCAGATCGCTGTTCTCAAGGGCCCTCGAGAAAGGTCAGAAGATCCGCGACGAGCATTGCACTTGCAGCGGACGGGCAACACCTGCCGACGGGGCCGGCGCGGCCCCAGCCGCAGCGGCCAAACCTGCAGGTGGCGAAGGCGTTGGTGGCGCTGGCGCAGCTGCAGCCGACGTTCGCCCCCGAGCGGCCGCAGCTCTCGGCGAGCCCGAGCAAACATCCAGAGCCCCCTGCTCAAGCACCTTGAGGGAGGCATGGGCAGGGGGTTTGACTGCGAATTCTCAGATTTCTATATGACTTGTGACTTCCCTTCGGAGGCCGCCAGCAGCTCGGCGGCCGCGCCTGCCTTCACGTTGTGCACTCCTTGGGAGGGGGTGGAGCGCGTCGCTCCTGTTCCTCTCGGGTTGTCCTCCTAGTCTTCGGGCCGTCGGTCGAGCCGCTTCTTGTAGGCCCGCTTTCAGGTCTCAGCGCCTAGCTCGACCTATATTTTATTTTCTGTATTTATATCAAGTCATTGTTGCGGTCCTCCGACAGTGGCCCACTGGCCGCGAGCAGTCTCGGGATATACTGCAGCCCGTTCGACGCCGCACTTGCGCATTCGTCGGTTTGCACGTCGGCTCCCGCCGCCCCGTCGGCGCCGTCGGCGGCGTCGCGGGCGCGCTAGCTTCTTGGCTTCAATGTTTCAGGGCCGGTAGCTTCGTCTTTTAAAACGCGCCCCCTGCCCCTGGTTAGGGCGCCTTTGCTTTTATTGCGCGTTGCTGCAATTGCGCAGCGCGGTAGCGGGCCAGCGAGCTTCTGCTCGCCTCTTCGGCCCATGTTGCGCTGCCCCGCAAGCGTCGCCTTCGACCGTCGCCGCTAGCAGACGCCCAGCAACTGGCATTCGGGCACCGGGGAACGTGCGGGCGGCCATCTTCGAACCCGCCAAGGTGACCAGCCCTTTGGGCAAGCGCGATCGCATCGGCGGAGCTAAGGTGTCAAACGGCCGCGCTGCGGTGGGCCGGATGAACGTCGGCCAGGGCGACCCCTTTCCTCTCGCCAGCCGTCACCTCCAGCGTCGCGAAGTCCGCAGCGATTACAACCTTCAGTTATTGTTGTAGCCAGGATTAGTTATGCTGCTGGGTCCAGTCAGCCGCGCTGCGTTGTTGAAGGAGACTTCAGCGTGGAGCCGCCCGCCCTGGCTACCTGTCAATATGTTGAGCCTCTTGAGGCCCAGTTGATTTGCACTGGCTTTGGTGCTTGCTTAAATTCGGCGGGGGGCCTTGTCCACGATTGCGCTGTGGCCTCCAGCGGTCTCTCTAAAGATGCGAGCGCGATCGCCCTCAATCGCATGGCCTCGATTGCCGCGCGCGGCCCAGTGGAGCTGATTTGTCTCCGAGAAGTTAGCCGAGCTTCAGGCGGCAACGTTCGGGTCCCTGCCGCCGCTGCCGCCCTCGCAACCAGCAGGGCCTGCGCCTGCCCCCGAAGATTGGCAGCCAGTGGTTGACGTGGCCCGGGGTGCGATCGACCGTGCTTTGAGCGGTTCTAGCGGCGTGTTCGTCGGCCTCGACAGGCCGCGCCACGCGCGGGCCTGCGCGGCCGAGCTGGACTTCCTGCGTCAAGTGGCGCTGGCAGAATTGTCGGTCGCGGTGGGTTCGCGCGCGCGCAGGGGGGGGCGCGGGGGGCGGGGCGGGCCCGGGGCGCCATCGCCTTGCCTGTGCCCACGGTGAGTTTCAGCAGCTGCATCTAGACGCGCGCGAGCACGTCTTCATGGCGCGGCCGGCCCTTTGACGAGCGCCGCCGGCTTCTTGCGCGCGCCGAGGGCGCGCGGGTCTCCGCCGGCGCGAATGCCAGACTCGAGGCCGATGCGCCGTTGGAAGGAGTTGCTTTTGCGGGGCGTCGACCAAGGGGCCCGGCTGCCAGGGCGGCTCGCGCTCGGGGGATGCCCGCGGAAGCGCGGGCCCCCCCCTCGACCCGGTCGGCGCCGGGGCGGCGCCGCGGCAGGCGCTTGCCAGTCGTCTATCTCTCGCGAGAGCCGAGGACATTCGATTCAAGTTCCTCTCAGCTGGTCAGCGATGCGACTGGCAGATTGGATAGCAATGCCTACGACGGTTTCGCCCCCGTGGAGCTCCTTCCAAGAGTTTCGGTCGATGCGATCCGCCGTTTGAGTCGTTCGTGCAGTAAGGGCTCGGCTGTCAGCGTTGACGGGTTCCGCGTGAAGGCTTTAGGTTAAGTGAGATACGCGTGCACTCAACGGAGGAGGAGGAGGAGAGGAGGGGACGAGAGAGGGACCAGGACAGGGCGATGGCATTTTCATGGCAGCGTGGCGACGCGCATCTCCGCCGAGCGTGGGCCCTGGTGGCCCCACGCTCAACGCGAGCGCGTGGGCCCTGACGGCCCGCGCGCTCGCGCTCTGGCACGCCTGCGGCCGCTCGGCCGACGCAGGCGTCTGGGAGCAAAGCGGGGTGGGTGGGCACCCGCGCGTCGGCCAGAGCCGAACGCTACGGACCCAAAATGGCTACCTGAGCCCACACCCCCTCCCACTTAACCTGCAGTCTACAACCAATCAGACTATACAAGTTAAGTGAGATACGCGTGCACTCAACGGAGGAGGAGGAGGAGAGGAGGGGACGAGAGAGGGACCAGGACAGGGCGATGGTATTTTCATGGCAGCGTGGCGACGCGCATCTCCGCCGAGCGTGGGCCCTGGTGGCCCCACGCTCAACGCGAGCGCGTGGGCCCTGACGGCCCGCGCGCTCGCGCTCTGGCACGCCTGCGGCCGCTCGGCCATGAGAAAAGAAAGACGCAGCCGCGCGCGCGGGGGGCGCCCCGCCCGAGTGCGAGGGCGGGATCAGAGGCTGCAAGAGCCTCGCGCGCGCGGCCACTTGCCTGCAACCTTGAGGCCTTCCGCGCCCGCGCACCCAGAGCGCGGGCGCGGCGCGTGCGCGATGCGCGCAAAAGAACCGAAAAGGGTGGCGGCGCACGAGGCGCCGGGCGCAGAGCGCAAGTGTGGCCCCGACCGCACGGCGCGCAAGACGCGCAGCACGGCCGGGTCCAGGAAGCACGCGACGTGCGCGCAACGTTAAACTCCTCCAAGAGGGAGGATCGCAGGCGCCACCTGCGTACCGTAGGCTAAAAGAAAGAGATCGCAGGCGCCACCTGCGTACCGTAGGCTAAAAGAAACAAGATCGCAGGCGCCACCTGCGCACCGTAGGCTCAAGGATCGCAGGCGCCACCTGCGCACGGTAGGCTGAGAGGAGGGCCGACTCACTCACAGGCCGCCGCCTTCAGCCCGCGCCCGCGATGCCGCGGGCGCTGGCGTCGGGGTACGGGGGGGAGCTCCAC